TGGGTGCAAGCCCATTATCAGCCTCGACATTCCGCTCTCCGGGTGCTGCGTGTACACGCCGGTGAATTTCGGGCCGGCTTTCGAGATGGATTTGGAGAGGCTCAAGTGCGGCTCCTACTCGGGATTCTATAGCTTCAATGGCAAGGAATCAGACGCTGAGAGCTGGAAATATGGGATTGCTCTCAAGTACAAGTTTGCGATTGACAATGTTTATCCGAGCTGGTGCTCCAGCTGTGAGCAGAGCGGCGGCGTTTGTGGGTATTCCGGCGCTGTTGATTCCTTTATATGTAACTGTCCTCCCGGATTCAACACCACCACCAATTGCTTCTTTGGAGGCTCTTATGGTCATTCTTCTAAGCTTCTTCCAAACCAACAATGTAAGTTTTATTACCAATGTTTTGCTTTGGTCATCAATTGCTTAGCATCAAAAAAAATTAAAGGGGTCTACACAAAAGAATTTTCAAAAATCCTTAATACTAAAATTATTGTACGTTTAGATTTTGGAGAGAATAATGCATTCTCCCAACCATATTTATAGAAAAAGTATTTCTAAATTTTCAAAAGTTAAACTTCAAAGTCGGCCTGACCAAGAGATTGGTAAAGTTTTGAGATCTCTTGGTCATATTGCTTTAAGGGTCTCAAGTTAGCTAGAACATTCGGGTGAGTTTAATATAAAAAATGCTTGATGTTTCTCAAGTTCGGGCCCTAGCTCTGGCTCTCATATATCACCAAAAAATAAAATTAAATTCAAAGTCTTTCTTACTAGGGAAAAACTCGGCTCCTTAAAGTTAATGATAAACTTGCTCCTTAATACCATTAAATATTTAACAACTCATTGTTATTTTTTAAGTAAATTCCTTCAAAATTTGGCTCAAAGTCAAGGAAGAACTTGCTCCTTAACTTTGAGCCAAAATTTTTCCTTCTTACTATATACCCTACTCTTTTAAAGAAAAATATTAGGTGTTTAGTGGTCAGCAATCAGCACCAATCTTTTGTCGAGAACTCTTAAATTTTTTAATAAACAGGGGGAGAGAAATGTAAGAATTTTTTTTTTCTTTTAAATTGTCAACTACACTCGCATAGGCATATTATTGAAAACTAAATGAACATATATTTGTTTCACGTTTGTACAGGGATTTGGGTGATTATTTTCTCTGGCTGGCTATTGGTTTGGATCTTCTAGACTGGAAAGGAAAAGTTGGTGGGAAGTTCTCTGTGTTTCAAAATAAGAATTTGGTGTGTAATGCTCTTAGAACTTTTAAGCATTTTTATTTGATTATTTTATTTGATGGCACACAAAAAAAGAAGCTCATGGGATCAGATTCTGTGTTTTTTTTTTTTTAAGTTGATGATGATAATGCTTAAAATCCACTACGCTGGGAATGGGAATCGTTTCATTTTCTCATGCTTTTTTAGGGCATATTCTGAAAGCAACGACACACAACACTTCCAAAAGTTTTATTCTTCACAACCTTTTGCATTATTGAAGCCCTTTGATGATAAGGCCGTCCTGATTACATTTTAATTTGTTGTGTTTATACTACAAATAATTTCGTTTTGGAGCATTTAAACATGTTTTATGAATAAAACTTAAAGTATCTCAACTAAATAATTAATCTGATATATGCCTAACAAGAGAGACTAATGGATATGTATAAATGTGAGCTCCAGTGACCCAAAATTAGTTAAGAGCTAACAAAGTCCACTTTTGGTTTTCGAAATTTGAGTTTTGTGTTTATTAATTTAGAGTTTAGAGTTTAGTCCCTGAGGTAGTAATATGGCAGCGAATATTGAAAGGTGACGTCGGAGAGCTAATGACAAATGAAGCGATTGAGACGCACATTAGATCATGTATTTAAATATTGAAGAACCGGCTTAGAAGAAGAAAGAGGGAGAGAGTGGATGCCACATCATTTAAAAACTATACTTATTGTTGCCCGATTATCTAAAAATTTCATGTCACATCACTTTTACATTAGTCCTTTCGGACCCGGGCCTAAATCTGGCGCCTTAGACTACTTGACCCAACTGTTAAATAATGAAGTTAAAAACATAATAAAGAAATATTTTTAAATTAATAAAATTGAATTTGGATTTTGAGCAATATATTTTTACCATTCTACTTTGACACTGCAGCCTTAACACCACTTTCTTTTGTCTATAAGTAATATATTGCATGCTAAATTGAAAAGTTAGTATCATTCGCGTAATGCTTCCTATTCTCATCTTTCCATGTTAAATTGTTAGCCGTTCTTGAAGGCGTTCGTCGAGTAAATAAAAATTCTATATCGTAGCTAATTGCTGAATGTGATTCTTTAACATTGATTATATTCCTTCTAGACGTGAGCGTGAGCAACTACCGTGGGAAAGAAAGCAATTTCATTTCTGAAATCCTTGAAATTCAATATCTATTCTTCTCGATCCCCTTCCTTCTCTCTAGTTCAAGACTTTCCTCTGGCTTAGAGCAATTGTCAAAGAGGACTTACATTCTGTAGCTGTTGGTTGTCTATTTCTTCTAATTAATCAACTCATTTTATCTAAGGGGAAAAAAAAAAAAAAAGAAGGGATCAACGACACATTTCTCATAACTAATAAATTTTATCCATATAAAGTTAAGCCATTATAACTTATTATTCACAATCTAACTGCCACAATCAAACCGAAACGAAATCCAGCGAGTCCTAATTTTAGGAAAGGATTAATGAAAATATCGATAAAAATCATAAAAGTATTTAAATACACAAATAAGTATTTTATCACTTTTAATTCAGTTAAAAATTCTTATTAATAATATTATGACTATGTTAGTGTATCTTTTTTATAATTTTTCTATATTTTGTTGATTTTTCACGATATAATAGAAAACATTGGTTCACCTCAATGTCAAACCTATGAACATGTAGAAATGTCAATTGTCAACAAAAATTTTGGCATATTCATGAAAATTTAATAGCCCGAGTCCTATATCCTTAAAATAGTTTTTCAATTTTTTAAAATAAAATTTACTAATTAGGTTTTTAAAAAAATTCTAAAAAAATTAAAAAACCATGCATAAAAACACAAATATATGGATACTTTTTGTACCATCAAAACAGATTTTTTATGACCGGTCTGAAATTGACATATATATATATATATGGTTCCTTCATGCTTCCAAGTTTGGAGAGGAAGGGAGTGAGATTTGGATAGTAAATAAATTTGTTCAATATCATACACGTTCTCTTGAAATAATATTTAACGATCTAAGATGTTATGTCGTATGTGCGTAGAGAACTTGCTCTTAGTATCAACAATCAAAAAGCTTAGTATTGAAGAGAATCTGCAATAAAGGAGATTGGAGGATCTCTATAATAATCTTACATGTTAATCCTTCTTTTTCTCATATGATTGAGGAGAAAAAATGAGGTATGATTATATTCATTTATTTACAATATTTTTTCCCCAAAATAGGTATATATTATATAATCTATTATATACCTTTTGCTGTAGGTTCAATTTCTGATTTTAAAGTTGATAATCATGGAAGGTTTCAATATTTTTTCATGTCTTTATCATCTTTGATTGCAAAATGGAGATATTGTCGTCTTGTTATTGTAGTTGTTGGAACATCAATGAAGAATAATTACGCTGGCACTCTATTATCAGCCTTCACGTTAGATGCGAATGATCAAATTTTCCTTTTGGCTTTTTGTGTTGTCGATTCTGAGAACGATGCTTCGTGGGAGTGGTTTTTTTAACGACAGAAACAATGTATATATTTTCGTCAAGACCTTTTAATTGTTTCAGATAGGCACAAGAGTATAGTCAAATCAACTGAGAAGGTTTTCACTAATGCTTACCACTGCATATGTGTGTTCCACCTTTTCAAGAATTTGAATTTGAAGAACAAGGAAAAGATTTCTGATAAGTTATTCATCCCATGTGCCAAAACATACGATGTTGAGGATTTTGAACATAATATGTGCCTATTAAACTCCACTGTACGAGGCATACATGAGGAATTGTTTTCCATAAGTTTCTCTAAATGGTCGTGTGCTTATTATCGCTCGACAAGATATAATTTAGTGACAACCAACATTTCAAAAAGTTTAAATGCTGTCATGAATGAGGCAAGAAAATTAACAATAACTTCTATGTTATAAGTTTTGCTGATAACGTTACATAGGTGGTTCTATGAGTGTTATAACGATGTTGTTTTTCAAATTATTGAATTCACAAAAATTGCTGAGAATAAGTTAAAGAAATCAAATTTCAGCTAGTCGTACAATGCAACTAAGTATCACAATCCATTGTACCTTAACTTGGTTTGTTTTTATGTATATAAGTTTCCATCGGATATTATTGTCGTATAAAGTAATTGCTTTCATTATTATGTGACAAAATGTGGGAAAGTGTGAAGGGCCAAAATGGAAAGAATGACCAAACGTTCAACCAAACACAAGAAAAAAAAAATGAGGCACACAAAAGAAAGTGACATAAGAGTAATGCAAAAAGGAAATTTTTATTAATTCCAGGGAGGAAGCCAAAAGGCTCCCTTGGATACAAAAAATGGGCAGATGCACATCACCGCCGATTATAGGAGGAAGAAAACTCTAAAAGACCTAAACATCTGGTCCATAGGCACAGTACATCCTTTCGAGGTGCTCAAGACGACGCTGAAGGTCATCATAGATCACTTCCAACTCCATCATGCCCACCACACATTGGCGACCAATCTCCTCTGCCACCCATGGCCCTCCTCTAAAATTGAAAGCTCCTTGCACAGTCGCAAGACTTGTTCCTTATGGCGGTGGATGGCGGCTACAAGGACGTCAACACCCGTGGTGGCATAGTTTGGCTCCGTCTAAGGTCGGGTGTCGTGCTCGTCCTCCGACGCTCCGTTCTCCGACGACTCAGAACCCGACTCCTCCTCCACTTTTAAAGGCTCATCCTCCCTAAAAGTTGGGTCTCCATGATGTGTGTGTTGCCCTAAATTCGTAGTTTGTAATTATGTAAGAATAATTTATATTCAATAAAGTTATGGTTTCATATTCAATCAATTTGTTGTTGAATTTACAACATTGCATTGTCTAAATCCAATAAACTAAACATCCAAGGTTATTATCATGTAACCGAGACAATATATATACTGAGTATATATTTGATATATCCTCAATATACATGTGGATAATGTCCCGGGAATAACCTAAAGGGTTTATAGTATATGGATGAGGCTGTGTACCTTATCGTGGCAACATTATAGATATGACCCACTTTGTAATTGCTACAGACGATCCAATCCAGGTCGTTCATGTGGAGACATGCGAGTGGGGGTATCTTATACAATGAATCTGAATAAGACCGGACCGCGAAATAGTCAATCTTTAGATGTAGCGCCATTAACTAACAGATTGCTATTTTATAGGATGACTAGGCAACTCATTTGCAATCTTGAATGAGTTATGGACCCCTGCCCGTAAAGACTCGTACTTTGATTTGTTAATGTCCAGTCATGAAACTTAAAAAGTATTAAAATGTTAGTGTCCTGTCATAATAAATCTTGAAACCTTGCCAACCTAAGCATAGCTTATTTGTTAAGGCACCCATCTCCGATTAAAAAGAGTTCGAATCTCCACCCCACATGTTGTACTCATAAAAATAAATCTATAAATCTTTAAAATAATGAATCAAGAGAGAAAAATATGTATAGAGAAAAAAACGAAACTCAAATAATTGGTTTGGAAAATAAGTAAAAGATAACTATTTTATAGTTTTTTTTTAGTAAAATATGTGGAGCGGGGATCCAAACTCATTGTTTATGCAAGAAATTGCACAACGTCAATCTAACACGAATCTGGTCCTTGTTCCGACCTGAAACGCTGAGGGAAGACCTACACGAGAGGGCAAAATCTCCGACGCTCAAGTCAGTAAACAGCTCGGACTCAATATTAGGTTCGAGGAGAAATTCGATACCTGACAATAAATGAGGCCCTCTATTTATAGGTTTTGGTTCCGATAGGGGCTGCGACAGGCAACTACCTTGGTCGGATTTGAGATCGGTAGTGTCAGGCTCCAACAGATCGAGCTCGGACACTTTCCTGAAAATGATGGGTTGACCCTCAATTGGAAATGGCAAGTCTTCCATCTCGGAAGGTTCCGAGATGGAGCTCCGTAAGTGTTCTTTCGAATCTTGCTTTAGTGGCGAATCTTTGTCCTCCACGTGGCAATAGGATTTTTTATCCCCAAACATTGGCCCCCTCTCTGTCGGATTCAATCTAGATCTGGCAGAGAAGTTCTCTTTGCGAAACCAGTCCACGTGGTGACTTCCGACGTCGTCTTAATAATTATTGTCGTTGGAAAACCTTGAAAACGGAACCAGCATTCGACACCCACTTGAGTACCCCTGACGTTCGGACTTCTTCCGAT